AGATGGGGGGTAATCTGAAAACAGAGGGGGTAGCTTGAAAACAGCGTTTTCAGTTTACCCGCCGGTAATTTGAAAGGGGGTAGTTTGAAACCACTATACCCCACCTCTGGAACCTCTGGAACCTCTGGAACACGATCACGGTTGTGTTAAAATGAATATGACCTTGTTTTCTTTGCATTATTTGAGGTCTGAAAACTATGGATCTTTTTTGTTATTTTGACCTTCTGTCATTTTCTGCAAATAAATGCTCTAAATAACAATAGTTTTGTTAATTTGTGTTCATTTTACTCAAACACATACTTATCAGTAGTAAAATCAGAGAAATGGATCCTTTTGCAGTGGTGTCTTATTTTTTCCAGAGCTGTATATTAGGAAAGAATTGACTCTTGTGAGCTTTTAGTCATGTTAAAATGTTGTTACTGCCTCAAAAATATACCTAGAGTTGTGTTTTGTTTCATTCACACATGTCTGAGTAACTGTTTATTATTTGTCAGTCTATATCTCCAGACTTCAAGATGCTCTGTTCCACATTGTGATGTCATGAAGTGGTAGTTTTCAAGTCAACAGCTCCTCCTTTTACCTTTAGTTCAGCAGACATTAGAAATTCCAGGGCTGAAATTATCCAAATGATTCTAGTGAAGGTGTAAGAAGTTTAAAAACACAGTGGAGCACTTCCTGTAATACAACATGACATCGCAAGCTGGAAGAGTTTTTCTGTTTGTTTGTTTGTTTGAGAGAAGAACTCAGTATAAATAAGCACGGTTTGTGTGTTAAATGTGTGAATGAAACAAAACACAACTCCTGGTCTGTTTGTGATGAGGAAACATTAGAACACAGATGAGAAAATGGCGTAATATGGGCCCTTTAAGACAAATGACATTATGATGAGTTCAATTTCCAAAAAGCAAGTCCTCAGCATGTTTTCTGTAGTTCCGCAGGTTTAAATAAAGGTCTGTCCATCCGGTACAATGTGCAAACTGTTTTAAAGTGCATGTGACAGGCTTTAGGATTCTCTAATTTTGATGCAGTTTGCTGGGATAATACCTGCTGTAAAAACAAATTATAGTTTTCAAACCAACCAATAAGCAGTTTGTGAAGAAAAGTTGAAAAAGAAGCAGAGAGTTTGATTTTGGAGCGTTCCATACTGATGACATCACACTGGGAGAATTCCTTCTAAAACTTGTGCACAATTTTCACACAGTAAACTTTTTTTTTTCCTGATACTCAATGATTATTTAAACAAGATGAGGTGTTTTCCTACATTTTCATTTGTTATATAATAACGTCTGAGGACATTTGAGGAGTTCTGGCCCAGTGTACTATATGGTTGCGAGGTAACAGTTATGGAATTGGTGGTTTTTAGGTTCTAGAATGTGATAATGTCATATTTCCAGATGGGGGGCAAGTGACAGATTTTCCTATTACTCTGTTTCAGATGACACCACAGCCTTCTATAGGCCAATATGAATTAATATAGATGGGGGGGCAGCTAAAACTAATATTATGTTATTAGGTTCTTTTTTCAGACGGGTCAGCTGATTGATATACAGGTTTTGGCGCTGACCGGACACGTCACAGCAACATCACGTGACCACTCTGAGGAAGAGCACTAGTGAGCAGTCCAAACTGTCAGGTATGAAAAACAAACCCTTGGTCTGAAAAAAGAACCTAATAACATAAATTATTGGAAGACCAAATGAACCTCATTGGACTAAAATTAATATTGTTAAAATGCAAAGTTATGTTTCAGTACAGTTAGTTCTTGGGTTTCATCAGTAATGGAAAATACAGGGTTCAACAATTCTAAATGTAATTAATTAATTAATTGATCAATGCATTTATATAGCACCTTTCAAGACACCCAAAGTGCTTTACAGAGCATTATTCATTCACTCACTACTTGGTGGTGGTAAACTACAACTGTAGCCACAGCGGCCCTGGGGCAGACTGACGGGAGAGAGACTGCCAATCAGCCCCTTCCACCCTCAACACTCACACACACACACAACTTTCATACTAGGCAATGTGGGTGAAGTGTCTTGCTTAAGGACACAATGACAGTTTTTTGCCACTGGTGCCCCACACCTGGCAAAGTACAATATTAATATTATCAATAGGAAAATCTGTCAGTTGTTCCCATCTGGGAGTATGACATTATCACATTCTAGAATCTGAAAACCACCAACTGATTACACTCTAAATTGCCATGAAATATCGGACAGGTACATTCCCAAATGCAGAACTTGATCATTTCTATTAGTGACTAGACCCAAGACCGTGCTGTATTACAACAAAAATCTGCAGTTGAACAATATTCATTTTAGCTGCCTCCCATCTGTATTAAATCATATTGGCCTATAGAATACTGTGATGTCATCTGAACCCCACCAAGACCCTAGAGCAGGGGTCTCCAACCTGCAGCTCGGGAGCTACGGGTCGCTCTCCACCACATTCCAAGGAGCTCACCAAGGAGTTTCTGAATCTACACGTATTGTCCTGAATAGATACAAATTTATAAAATAAATGTCTATTACCACTGGACATGAATCATTCTGATGGTTAACTTTGTACACAAATAAATAGATAATGGTTTATGTTTTATAGGCATCGAACTGTACTTCATTTAAGGCTCAGTTTCTTGTGACTGCTCAAATGAGTAGCTCTCTGGCATATTTGTTTTGTAAAAGTAGCTCACGAGAGGTAGAAGGTTGGAGACCGAAGCCCTAGAGTGATGACATGATTTCCAAATAAGAAGTATAATTTTAAACCTAAGAAAAAACAAACAAAACAAAACTGCCAAACTGGGCAATTTTCAGTTTTTTTTTTGTTTTTTTTTTGTAAAATCTTAAATGCAACAATCTTAACTGTGTTTTAGTGAAATGAGAAGTTAAAGGTGCACTGTGTAACCTATTTAATCTCTATGGAAAAATTATTGCTTCGTCTAGAATGTTCCACAGTTTAGATTAAACCGACAAGGGAGACAAGCAGGTTACAGAACTACGCTACATTACAGTTCAGATCTGTGGAGTGTCGATGCTATTCACTGAAGGAATTAATGTATTTTTGAGCAATAATTCATAACAGGTATGTGTTTAATGTCATACCATGGAACATTCTAGGCAAAGCAGCAAAATCTCCATGGAGACCAGAGAGTAGGGGACCCTCCACCGGAAAATATGCACCTTTATACCTGTCAGAGAAGCAAATATTGGCACAGAGACGTAGCTTTTGTGTTGCATCTGCATTCCACAATCTGCTACTGTCATTAATACACTTGTACACAAAAAGACCAGCAGGGGGCAGCAACCGTCACACGCCATCGAAATGACAAAATCTGGGGCTGTGTCCGAGTATCCGCTCTTGTCCTTAACCCTTCATTTACTAGTCCTGCGGTATTTAGAGGACTATGTAGTGCTCTCATTCACAGAGAGATTCGGGTCACGTGACTCTGGAGTATGGGTGAAAAAAAGTCCACTGAAGTCAGATAAAAGTAGATTTCTGTCATGAAAAATGATCAGATCAGACTTACACACAAGTATTTATGGACTAATCCTCATCATACAAGTTTTTTTGTCATGCATGATCTCACGTAAACAGAGTGAATTATTTGCTTTTTGTCTGAGATGTGGAAATTCTCTCTCTTTTAACAGCTCGAGGTAAGATAAGAGGCTCATGCAAGCACTTTTACATCTTAACGGTTTACAAAAGAGTGTTTTTAATCACTGGTAGATGAAGCACTCAATGTTGTTACCGTATTTTCCGGGCTATAGGATGCGCTCTTAAGCCTCCAACCGCATCAAAAAACGACCGCGCGCCCCACAATCCAGAGCGCCCTGTACACGAATCCACTCGAAAACATGCATGGAGCAGACAGCGACCGCGCAGCGACAAACACCCGCAGCCACACTCATCACTTCACGCCGACGAGGAACGGAACGGAGGAACGAACCCAAAAAGCGAGTGCAATGTGCCACTTCTACACACAACTCAACAACTGAGTCATTGCGAACACGCCGACAATCCAGTTGGTCCCAGACAGCACCCTCCCTACACGCCACAACTGAACAAAGCCCAGAGTCACCGTGAACGCCACAAACAAAGTCCCACTGACCCATCCAACTGTTGTGTTTCCTTTAAAGTCCGGTGTGGGTTATTTGTGAAAAATTTTTTAAAAAAATAGACCATTTAATGACAGTGCACCTTATAATCCAGAGCGCCTAATAGTGCAGAAAATACAGTACTTAAGTAAAAAAAGTTACTCAAATACCACGCAAAAGAAGCTCATTGTGTTAGATTATGAAGAGTAGGGGTGGGATTAAATACGTTTTCTTCTTCTCACTCCTTTTTGGGCAAAATAATAATAATAGTAAATTTTTGTTGTTATTTTCATTTCTATTATGATTTCACTTATGTTATATGTTCCATTGTATATGAAGGCAAATCTATACTTGCCCAAAATAAATGCATAAATAAAAAATAAAAATAATAAAAAAGTATCACATGAAAAAATCTAATTAACTAAAAGTATTAAAGTACCTGTTTAAAAATGTACTTTAAGAGTAAAAAGTAGATGTATTTTGCAGAGAGATTTTTAGAACAATTAAAAAGTTGAAATGTGGTGATTTGAAAAATAAAAAAAAAAATTTAAAAAAAAAGTATTTTCCGCACTATTAGGTGCTCTGGATTATAAAGCGCACTGTCATTAAATGGTCTATTTTCGAACTTTTTCCACAAATAAACCACACCGGACTTTAAAGGAAACACAACAGTTGGATGGGTCAGTGCGTTCACGGTGACTCTGGGCTTTGTTCAGTTGTGGCGTGTAGGGAGGGTGCTGTCTGGGACCAACGGATTGTCGGCGTGTTCGCAGTGACTCAGTTATTCAAGTTGTGTCTAGAAGTGGCATATTGCACTCGCTTTTTCGGTTCCGTTCTGTTCCTCGTCCGTGTGGAGTGATGAGTGTGTCTGCGGGTGTTTTTCGCTGTGCGGTCGCTCACTGCTCTGTGCGTGTTTGCGTGCGCTGTGGGCGCTGCGGCTTTGTAGTTTACTGAAGTCGTGCTGGGACACCTGAGTGGATTTGTCTATAGGACGCTCTGGATTGTGGGGCGCGCAATCGTTTTTTGATGCAGTTGGAGACTTAAGAGCGCGCCCTATAGCCCGGAAAATACGGTACTTTAAGAGTAAAAGTGTTTTGCAGAGAGATTTTTAGAACAAATAAAAAGTTGAAATGTGGTGATTTTGAAAAAGAATTCAGCAGTGATTCAACTGATTTCTTAATGTTTCTAGCCGCTTTTGTGTATTTGGTTTGCTCAAAGTTGGGATGTTAACTCAAAAAGGAAATGTTAAAAAAAAAAAGTCTTCACCATTTCAGGAGGTGTAAAACAATAACTTTTCAGTCCAGATCTAAAATGTAGTGGAGTAGGAAGTACAGATAGATGTTCTCAAATGTAGTGTAAAAGTAAAAAGTATCCACTGTAAAACGTACTTATGTAAAGTACAGATATGTAAAATGTGTCCTTAAGTATTGTAGTTTTACTTTCATACTTCATTACCTTCACCACTGATGCCCACTACTTTTCAAGGTGCATTGTAGGAGATTTTGAGCGCACTACTTTTTCACCAACTGGACATTCGGACACTCCTAAAAACAGCGTGACCCCTTAAAATGTGCCCTCAGTAGTAACAGTGTGGACATTCGGACACAGCCTGGACCTGTGCCAGTGCAAGCAGTGGTATTGTGCTAAAGCAGAGAAGAGTTGCTGGTGCAGAGTCCATGTGAGGGGAGGCGGGTGGCGGGTGGCAGCTGTTATCTGTCCTGTCTGCTGGCTCGGGGCACTTTGAGCACCTTGTACACTTCGTTGGCGAACACTGTGCTGAAGTGTGGGTGGGAGTTCCTGGCGAGCTGGGTGCACAGAGGGACTTTACCCATGTTCTCGGGGTCCTCGATGTCCCAGATCTCAGGCATGCTGCACCCGGGCCTGGAGACGACAACACAGATTAAATAAGGGAGCGATTCAGTATATTAGACTCAGACAAATGATTGACTCGTAAGGGAAATGATTTGGACACAGGAGCTCACACATCACAATATAATATAATAACAAAGAGATAATAATACATTCTGAATAAGTAGCAAAAATAGAGAGAGACTGGTGTCAGATAAGGCATAATTATATAATTCTATGTATACGTAAAAATAAAATAAAATAGACACAGAAATAAATAATAAAAATATCTCAGCAATACACAGTATATAGGTGCAAGTCACATTTCTATAGCATCTGTCCTATAAAGGTCATGAGATTGGTACATGGACAGAGCTAACCCTCTAGCAGCCATCTTCCAAACAGGAAGTGAGCATGGGGGGGGCTTCCAGCTCCATCAACTGTGGCTGGCTCTAATTCACTTTACATTGAATCATTATCGCTCCTCTCTGTGTAACTGCCGCAGTGAGTCTCATCTTATTGGTATTAAAATGTTATTAACGCTGTCTACATGACCTTGGTGTTTTTTATTTTGCTATTTTGCCTGTAAATCAATTCCTGTTCCTAATATGGTACTCAGCTAAAAAAACGTGCTCCTATTACTGCTGACAAGCGCACATCCCCTGCCAGAGGTGCAGGCCAGAGGGAGATGTGTGAGCTACTGTATCTAAATAATTTCCCTCGTGGATCAATAAAGTTTGTCAAAGTCTAATGCTAATGTACATGGGCTGAGTGTACTGTAACAGACCTTGTCCTTCTGGTGCACCAGGAGTCCTCCAGGACAAAGTAGTCCACTTTGAGCTTCATCAGGTTCCTCTTCACCGTCTCTCCAGACATACGGCTGTACATGGAGTACACCAGCTTAGTTCTCTCTCTGGAAAAATAGACACAGGTTTAGTTCAGAGTCTAAACGAGCCTTAAGGCCACCACACACTACATGATTTTTTTGGTCTGAAACGATTTTTAATCGTCTGACAAAAAGCGCACATCACAGACCCGAGGAGAGAATTTTATGAGATTTGAAATCTCCGATGGCAAAGACTGCAGCGGGAATGCGTCTGTGGGCCACAAGCTAAAAGTTGTGAGCTCGTTTTGAGACTCTTAAGTGTTAAAAAGATCAGAGCTCTACACTTCTAGTTTAGATACAAGTCAAAACTGTGTTATTATTATTTGTGAAATGTGGTGCAGATACATGCACAGAGATAGTGACTCTACTTCCTGTGTGCTCTATCGCTAATCTGCAACTTCACCTCCTGCATTTTTCTTAAAGCTTCAGTCCCTCATGGGGACTGGATGTCATTATTTGTGAAGGACTAATTCTATGGATAATGTGGATGAGATGCTGCAGTTTAAATTTACCACTTTATGAGAGGTTAGTAATTATTTTTGCCATTTCCTGAGTTTGTATCTTTCGTCTGTGTCTGTCACTCCTCTTCCCCTGACACCTTTTTATTTGTTGTTACCGTAGCGTTGCTAATGTCTGGTGGTTACGATCTGACAGAGTAGCTGACACCACACACATGAGGGGCGCGCACACACACACACGCACGCACGCACGCACACGCACACACACACACACACACACACGGAGCGCAGCAGCCTCAAAATCGCCCACGAACACACAAAGTCAGGTCACACCTCCCCGAACCCCGAAATCGCAGGGTAAATTCTCCTGTTGCGTGTGGCATTTATGTGGCACACAATGACCGTCTGTATTGACCTGAGTCCAGCATCTTCATAGTGCGGGTGGTTGACGATGGGCCTGCCTGTGGACAGCTTCACACTGGCCATGGTGGGCATCGCACCAGCAAACACAGCATCTGCACACACAAACATACACACGCTGACTTTTGTTGCTTTTTAGGGGACATTACATTGGCTTACATTAATTTCCTTGAGAGTGACCAAAGCTTTAACCATTAACTACCTACCTAACGTTAACCTAAACACTATTTGAATCCTCATCTCACATCTGAATTTAAAAAGCTGCTAGGGTAACAATTAATGATTTCTGTGTGTATGTATCATAGCAACCAAAGAGCCAATCCAAAGCGAGGCTATTAAAAGGTACTCTCCCCTGATACCAGAGCTCGAAGGAACCACTTTGCGCCCCATGCTCACTTCTGATTGGAACATTGCACCTAGCAGGATATACAGTATGTGGTGCCAATGTGCTCAGCAAAACCAAGCTCGTGCCCGTTAGATAGAGCTGTGAATTTCTGAGATCAACCTTATGATTAAAATTCCACTTACAATGTTAAGGCCCCCTTCAGGGATATTTAGGATTTAAGGTGGACTGTTGAATACTCCTGAGGGGGTCTATAAAGGATCTATGGTGAAATTATCCTTAACAGACCCCTGAGGAATATTCAGAAGGTCTTACATTACACATAATTGACTCTTGTGAGCTTTTGGTCATGTTAGAATCTCATTACCTTCTGAAAAAACATACCTGGAGTTGTGTTTTGTTTCATTCACACGTTTGAGTAACCCAAAAAGCTCTATTCCACCTTGTGATGTCACAAAGTGGGAGTTTTCAGCTACCTTTTACCTTTTGTTTAGTAGATTGGCAATTCCAGGGCTGATATCATCCAAATGATTCTAGTGAAGGTGTTGTCCCGGGCGCTGTTACCTATGGTTCTGTGGCTCGTGTTCACACCTGCGATGTCTCCGATGGCGATCGTCGTACGGCCTTGTTTGTTTTCATGTTGCGCAACGGAGTTGGTGCTTTTGGCGGAGAGGGTGGGAGCAGCGGCGTGGAGCGTCTATCGAGCGGTGGGACTGATGTTGCGGTGCGTGCTCCGCTGAGGGCTCATGGATGTGGTGGCAGTGCGGGGGAGTGAGGCTGTGGGGCTTCTGTCATCTCGTTTTTATTTGGTAAGATTTTGTACTATTTGGATTTCATAGATGAGCCTAAATGTTTCAAATGTAATGCACAGGCTTCCATATAATATCAAAAACAAAGTGTAGACTGTGCAGAGTCGAGTCTCAGGTCTGATCTGATTCTGGTCTCGTTCCGGTTTTGTTCAGTTCATTAAGTTTACTAAGTTACACATTCCAAGACCAGACTGTGGTAAAAGTAAAAATTTTCAACAGTGATGGTTCATGGTTAGAAAAGTTAATAAAATTAAAGTTTTGGACATTTGATTTTTCACAAGTTCAGTCAAATACTACACATTGAAATCAACGCAATCTGATCCCGACAACACATCATGGATCTTATTCTTTGCTCTTGGTTAATTTTATAATTTTTATACAAGTATCGGATCGGGACTTTGTATCAGCAGATACTCAAAATCAAATGACTCGGAGGCAAAAAAAATGTGATCGGGACATCCCTATTATAGAGTTTAAAAACAGTGTATTACCACATGACATCTCAAGGTAGAACAGAGTGTTGTCAAGCTAAGAGAAAGACACTGTGACACTGCCTAAATATGCAGGTTTTGTGTGTTAAACATGTTAGTGAAACAAAAACACAACTCCAGGACTGTTTGTGATGAGAAAACAACATTATAAAATAGATCAGAGAATAGCGGGATGTGGGCCCTTTAATGCAGCTCACTGTGATGTGTGTTGTCTTGGATCCAGTCGAGCAGCTCTTCCTGGGGCATGTTGCTGAACTCCCCGATGATGCCCCACTGAGCCTGCAGGTTGGACAGGCCCTGTACGGCCATGAGAGCCAGCACGCCGAACACCGCCATCTGCTGTTTGGAGCGCTCCCCGAACCAGCCAAACAACTGCAGACACACAGGAAACACAGAAGACTGTAAGAGTAAGGCAGATTCAAATTTTCTTAAAGGCCACGTCTCATTTCTCTATCCTCGCTTCCTTCTCCTTGATTCCTCTTCTCAATCCTCCATTTTTCGGCAGTCAATCAAATGTGTCATATTAAAAGTTGTCCCAATGAAAACCAAGGAATGAAGGAGTAAACCTGAGGGAGGCTTCAGGAGCAAACATCAGAGAAAAGAATCAAACTTTATTGGTCTCAGTGAGGAGTTTAGATCCTCTCTCATCGCTTTGTCTCCTCTGTGGGCGGGATTTCCTCACCTATTTCCTGCAGAATCGAGGGGAGGAATCAAGGAGAAAGAAATGAAGAAACAGCAATGAGATGCAGCCACAGTTTGCAGGCGCTCAACCTGATTTTAACGCACCAACTGTTTGCAGAAGTTACCCCTCCCTTATTCATGCATTTCAAGCATCCTAATTATTCACCACGATGAAATTATTAGATCTTTTCACAACACTTTGTGATTTAATGTGACTTCCACCTACATACACTTTGCTGTGACAGTAAAGATAACAACAAGTAGCGCACTTCCTGACTCTTTGGAAGATAAAACACCTTATAAATAGAGAAAGACATTACACAGCAGTTTCATTTTTACCTCATGAGCCGCAATATACAATATATCCATACTGGGGTAAAACTAATTTTGCTCAGCTACAAAGAAAAAAGTTAAGAGTGGAGTTTTGCTGTGACTGCAATTCTAACAACTACTAGCATGCCAACCATGCACATCCTGATTCACAGAATAAAAGGCTCTATAAGAACACCCAAGATTCAAGATTAATTTTACTGTCCAACAAGTGGGGAAATTTGTCTTGGGTTATAGGCTCTATTCACGCTTACGTCACAAACCAGGAAGACGTTATGATGACAACTTCCGGAGGACTGTTTGCGGTAGTAAGACAAAATCTAGAAGAAATGAGAAAACGTCCCTGTTTTCTTCATCTCCATTTCATTGTTATGTTCGACTAATGAACAATTACAACCATACCTCAGTTTTTATCATTTTAATAATAAATAAATAATGAATAAAGAAGCAAATAGATAACAAATAATTCATAATAATTTATAATGCATTCCTCTCAATTCGCTCACAAATTTGCTCACAAATTTTCGAGTTGTCTGTAAGTGACATTGAAGATATGATTAGACCAGGGGTGTCAAACATACGACCGGATCTGGCCCTCCAAGACCTTTATTCTGGCCCTCAGCAGATTTTCTACTAAAATATTTTAATGATATTTTCTATTAAACTATTGGTAATTTTCTGCACCACTCAGCATAGCAGTGTCTCCAGTGTCTCTGTGCGTGGCCCCTCCCACCAGAGCAGCACAAATCAAGACTTGGCTCTTTCCAAACGCTCTTAAAGGACGATTGTTTTGACTGTTGACCGTGACACCCTCATCAGGAAAATGTCAAAAATGAGAAAAGTGGAGCCGAGTGCAGGATTTTCCAAGAAAAATGGGCTTATTCCTATTTGCATACAAGTTCATGTTAAAACATTGTGTTGAAGTTGCATGTTTCTTAAAGTTTCAGGTTGTTCCTTATATTACAATATTTTGTAAAAGAAAGAGTTCATCAATTAAAAAAGATTTCTGTAACAGATTTGTTTCTCTGCACAAATATTTGAACTTATTGTTATTTTTGGGGTATATATGCCATGAGTTTTCTGATCCGGCCCCTTTGGGATCAAAGTAGGTTGGATATGATCCCCGAACCAAAATGAGTTTGACACCCCTGGATTAGAGTCACGTCCCCCATGGAGCTTTGGCAAGTTATGAAGAGCTAATGATTGCTGAATCCATGGTTTTATCATATTTCAGTGGGTTTTGTCATAGTAGTGTTTGTAACTGCACTGGAAGTTGTCACTGCATCTTTCCAGCCGTCTTCCTGGTTTATGATGCAAGTGTGCAATATAAAATAGAGTCAAATCAAATACTACAATAAGCACATGCAGACACTACGTAGTATGGACTTATTTTGACTGTAAGAGCTGCTTATGTATCTGTACTGGGGCAAGACACATTTTGCTCAAATACATGGAAGGAAAACAGATCAGGCACCCTTCAGAACTGAATACTCATTTGAAATAGCGAAGTACTGCCGTGACAAGTATCATTTTGGAAAAAGAAATATACAAACTAGTAAAAGTTCACCTAGCAAATATCAAAGTTTGGTTTACATGTTACTATGGTGAGGGAGGTAGTTGGGACTGACCTGTTTGGAGCAGAGGAGGGAGGCCATGATGCACATGTGAGGAGTGAGGAAGAGCTTCAGCCTCATGATGAGCAGAGCCAGAACAGTGAAGGCCCCCAGCTGCAGACTGTGGTACACCAGCTAATGCAAAACAACACAAGATAACAAGAGGTGACACAGCAGACGCCACCACCTTTTTACTTTAACATAAAAATAGATATAAGGACTCCACTAGACCCAGACTATGTTTTTTTAAAGGGCTCACATTATACGATTTTCTGATATATGTTATGTTATGATAAATAGACCTGGAGTTGTGTTTTGGCAGAAAACACTCTGTTCCACCTCGTGATGTCATGTGGTAATACATTGTTTTTGAACTCTATACACCTTCACCTTGGAATAATTTCAGCCCAGGAATTGCCGATCTCTACTACAAAAGGAAGCTGACAACTTAAAAACTACTGCTTTGTGACATCACAAGGTGGAACAGAGCATTTTGAGCTTTGGAGATGTAGACAGACTAATAGTAAAGTGTGTCTCAAACATGTGTGAATGAAAGAAAACACAAATCCAGGTATGCTTTTGAGGTAACAGAATTATAACATGGCTAAAAGCTCACAAGAGTAAATTTTGTGTAATATAGGACTTTTAATAATACAGTATTAGGGACGCACTGATACCGATACTGGATCTATCCGGCTGATATCCCCGTCAGGCCTTTGATTGGATTTAATGAGATGTTTCACTGACTGATATAAGCCCAGGATGTCTCATAATGTTTAAACTTTTATTCATGCAGAGTTGTGATGTAATTGTTATTCACTTTATGGTTTTGGTTTCAATCTTATCAATTATATTTACTATACTATCTGCACTACTTAAAAATATACAAATTGAAAATATACAGTGAAGAAAAGAAAAAATAGAAAACATAAAGTAAAGAATGTATAGAAAGAAGGGAAAGAATGAATATATGTCTCACCTCTCCCCTTGCTGCTATGTCAGATCTGTATAAAGACATATGGAAAGACATCATTAGAAAAAACAATGTTATAATAAAAAGATGCATAAAGAAAAAGTAGAGCTCTTACCCGGTTTCCTCGGAGAGTTCCATCTTGGCTCCATCCCTGAGGACCCTGACTATATCCTGGACTGTCTGGACACAAGCAGAGAGATCATACTATTAAAAGAACATATTGTGCTTGTCTCTGTTCTATAGTTATAATCTCTGACATCTGTGGATTGTTATGTTGTAATTTGCACATTTTAAATCCCAATGTTCTTCTCAAAGGACTTAATAAAAAAATAAGTCTGCTGACGTTTGTGTTCGAAAACTGTGGTGCCTGATGGGAGCTGATGTCAGAGTAAACAACATCATGTTTTAATATTATTTAAAGGTGCATTGTGTAACTTTTCAGGTGGAGGGTCCGTCATCTGCTTTTCTTTCTAGAGATGTTATGTTACTTTGTCTGGAATGTTTCACAGTTTGATATTAAACCTTTTTATCCTCATGGAGAGCAAAACAGATCCAGTACCACCTGTTTTCTAGGTCAGACATGTCAGCCTCAGGCCCGGGGGTCAAATTTGGCCCGTGAGATCATATTAAATATGTATTAGAGCTGACCCGCCGGCTACAGATCGACTATAGAGACATTATTTATTTAAAATGTTGTAATTATTTTATATTATGCTTGCTCTGGATTTAATGTTTAAGCAAAACTATTATTAAACATTTATTTTAATGTTTATTTTAATAATTTAAGAAAAGGTTTAACATGAAGACATGAAGATGTTGTTAAAATTTTTCAATAAATATTTAGTTTGGCCCACGACTGAGTCCCAGTTTTTAATTTTGGCCCCCTGTGAATTTGAGTTTGACACCACTGATCTAGGTATTTTTGAGCTACAGAATCACCTGTAACTGAATAAATGTAAGGTAGAGCTGTTTAATGTCATACTGTGGAACATTCTAGGCAGAGCAATGACAGAGCCATAGCAAGTGTCAAACCACCAACCAAAAACTTACACAGTGCACCTTTAAAGTTAAACTGTCAAATTACCTTCCAAGCAATCACAGACACCACCAGCACGTTGATGGGCAGCAGCAGCGTTTTGAGATAGCGAATGGGAGTCTAAAAAAGAAAGTAAATACTATATAAACATATAATATAAAGATTAAAACTAAACACAGAATAGTGAAAATGTAATGTTTTTCTAATCGGCTACGTGCTTTTACCTCGACCTCTATGAAGTCAAACTCAGCGGCGCAGGTGTACATCATGGTGTGGAAATCTTTGTAGCTGGTGAACTTGGACTTGATCAGAGCACTGATGTGAGCCTACAGCAAAAAGGAAAATCAACAGGATTTATGGTTTATGAAGGAATAATGGATGTACAGTATATAGAAGGATGTGTCAAGTCGACTCTTCATGTACTGTTATAAGTGAATGCGTTAAAGAAGCGTAAATAATCATTTATTAGTTCTGTAAGATTAATCTGTTAAGCCATTATAGATATGAAATGTGAGTTTGGTCCAAATTTAAGGGGTAGTTATTCATTCAAAACATATTTTTTTCTATCTTTTTCAATTCAAATTGTAGTTGATTAAAGCAATATTTGTTGTCAGTATTATTGTACATCCCTTTTATGGATTTACAGTTACAAAGTTACAAAACGAATAATTCAAGTTTGACCAAAATGTAAACATAATTAATATATTATAAAACAACCACAATAATGATAATGTTAATTTGCTCTTAACTGCAAAATATTGGACATGATGAACAAGTTGTTTGATAATTTTGTGTTTTGGTTCTGTAGACGATTATCCAATCAGAAAGCAGAGTGAGCCTCATGTCTTTATTTGGGCTGTCAGGTTCATTGCTGAAAACTCTGATCTGAATGGTCACTACCTAAAACCCAGCACCTGCAGCCAGTCATGAATCAGTGCTAGTGCAGCCTCTGTAGCTCAGGGAGGGAATTCTGTCCATATACTGAGAATTAGAAAAACGTGTATGTTTAGGCACTAGCTACCTAGGTTTTAGTTTTAAAACTAAAAGCACAGGCTACATATAGTTCCTTTATAAAATGTGGTTGTCAAGGTAATAATTTGTATAGATTATGGAAAGAGACATGTTGCTTACATCATCAGAAGCTCCCAGAATAGTGGACAGCACAAATTTGAGTAGAACCGTGGAGCCGACCCAAGCCAAGCCCTGCATCAGCTGAAAAACGAAAGACATAATTGACTAAAAGATTAAAACTAATCCAAATCAAATACATTATTAAAGGTCATATATTGAGCAAAATAAATTTGTGACCTTTAAGATATTTTAAAATCCTCAAAAATTTACCTGGACTTGTGTTTTGTTTCATTCACACACGTTTGAGTAATCCTTTATTATTAGTGTGTGCATCTCCAAAGCTCAATATGCTCTGTTCCACCTTGTGATGTCATGTGGTAGTTAAGAATTAAGTTAGTCAAGTCAACAGCGACCTTGTACCTTTTGTTCAGTAGAGATTGGACATTCTGAGGCTGGAATAACCCAAATGATTCTAGTGAAGGTGTATGGAATTTAAAAACACAGTGAATCGCTTCTTGTATTACCATATGATGTCACAAGGTGGAATGTTGAGCAAGTGATTCCTGCTTGAGAAAGAGTGAAATATGCAGGGTTTTTGTGTTAAAAATAAAACAAAACAGAACTCCAGGTAGGTTTGTACGGAAGCGGAGAGGGGTGACAACAAACGCAAACGCTTCAACAATTACAATTGCGACAACACAACAAAAAGCCACAACACACCAAAAAAAGCCACAACAGAAATGACCGCGGGACTCTATTTTAATGCAAACGCTGCAACAAATTCAAACTCCACAACACAAATGCCTCAACACATTAAAAAGCCACAACACATTAAAAAGCCGTGGGACTCTATTTTCCGACGGACCGATCAAGCGGCAAGTGAAGAAGAAGAACTACAACGTGAAAAGTAAAGGAACGGAGAAGTTGGAAACGTAAGTAAAAGTAATTTCTTGTTTTATCATTATTTGTTTCACGTTGTAGTTCTTCTTCTTCACTTGCCGCTTCATCGGTCCGTCGGAAAATAGAGTCCCCCGGTCACTTCCGTTGTGGCTTTTTGATGTGTTGTGGCTTTTTAATGTGTTGCGGGATTTGTGTTTGTGTTGTCGCATTTGTATTTGTTGTGGCGTTTGCGTTTGTTGTGACCCCTCTCGGCTTCCGTAGGTTTGTGATGAGGAAACAACATTATTACAGTTCAGAAAATAGTGTAATATGTACAAAAAAGTACATACCCAGATGATGATGCCTGGTTTGAAGAGCTGAGCAAATCGGTCTTTGAGAGCAATGATGACCTGATAAAAACAACGTTATATAGAAAGAACTGAGTGCGAAGTTTTAAGTACAGAAATGACTGAACTGAAGTGAAGGGGACATAACTCACCCAAATGGAGACAAGAGACGAGGCGTAGAAGGAGGTCAGTAACATGGAGTTTCCAAACATCAGGATGAAGCAAACAGCAAGTGTTATCTGTAGAAAAATATGAAACATTTGGTGATTGAAGGACTTTTATAATGTTGTTTCCTCATCAAACAGACCTGGAGTGGTGTTTTGTTTTTATCACATGTTTAACACACAAACCCTGCAGATTTACGCTGAGTTCTTCTCTCAAACAGAAAACACGCTGTTCCACCTTGTGATGTCATGTGGAAATACAGGAAGTGCTACATTGTGTTTTCAAACTCCATGCAACTTCACAAGAATCATCAGGATCATTTCAGCCCTGGAATTGCCAACGTCTACTGAACTAAAGGTAAAAAGAGATGATAACTTGAAAACTACCACTAAATTACATCACAAGGTGGAACAGAGTGTTTTGAGTTCAAACATGCGTGAATGAAACAAAACGTAACTCCAGGTCTATTTTTGAGGAGGTAACAACATTATAACATGCTTAAAATGTACACTTAATCCATTTATTATGTTACAGAAATGAGCTTTGCAAATTATCCATAAAATTGGATTTTTAGAACACACCTGTAATCTTTTTATTCAATCCAAGCTCCTCAAGATTCCTGACCTTGTAAAATATTACCGTATTTTCCACACTATTAGGGGCTCTGGATTATAAGGCGCACGGTCTATTTTCGAACTTTTTTCACAAATAAACCACACTGGACTTTAAACAAAACATAACAGTTGGATGAGTCAGTGGGACTTTGTTTGGTGCGTTCACGGTGACTCTGGGCTTTGTTCAGTTGTGGCGTGTAGGGAGGGTGCTGTCTGGGATCGCTGGATCGTCGGCGTGTTCGCAGTGACTCAGTTGTTCAGTTGTGTCTAGAAGTGGCACATTGCACTCGCTTTTTCGGTTCATTCCTCCGTTCCGTTACTCTGTCGGCGTGGAGTGATGAGTGTGTCTGTGGGTGTTTTTTGCTACACGGTCGCCGTCTGCCCCGTGAGCGCGCTTTGTAGTTTAATGAAGTCGTGCTGGGACACCCAAGTGGATTCGTGTATAGGGCGTTCTCGATTGTGGGGCGCACAGCCGTTTTTTGATGGGTTTGGAGGCTTAAGAGTGTGCCTAATAGCCCATAAAATACAGTATACACTGGTAATTTTACTTAAAGCATTCAACAATTTACTACCAAGTAATCTTCAAAGCTTGTTCAAAATGAAAGAAAGAATTCATCATTTTAGAAGGTATGAAAATTTCAAATTGCGCAATGTTCGAACTACCTGTAAAAGTTTCTGTGTGTCTGTAGGTGGTGTAAAACTCTGGAACAGCTTGGATACACATCTCAAGCAATGCTAAAAAATTCATAAATTCAAGTTGTTTGCTCACAGTATATAGAGAGTGGGTCTTAATTTTAGAAGAATAGTGCCTCTGTAGCGCTGGTTTATGCTTGTTGTTTCCTTCCCATTGCTGGCCTGTCCTGTCTGTTAAACATTGTTGGCATCTCAATTTTCCTTATTTATTGTTGGTATTCTTATGTATTATTACAATACAGTTCTGTTACCAATCTATAACAGTGACTCTTTGCCTGCACTTGTAAATAGTTCATATACAGGGTATCTAGTCTCTTTGACTACCCCAAATTTAAGATTTTTTACAACCTTTTTAAAACCACTAACATGAAAATGAAGACCAACGTTGCAGTCATTATGCAGGCGAAAAACACCAGGTCTAATTCTAATAACGACTAACCAACTACCGGTACTATATCTAGAATCTAAGGCTATGTTTATATGATGATGGCCCTAACAGAAGACACAAAAGTGGTGTAGTGTCTTCACTTTTTATTCTGCGTTTAGACGAGCATTTTCGGGAGGAAATCTGCGTGCATATGGTGACGCAAAAGTGTTTGAAATTTGATTGTGTATGCATGTCAGGTGGCTGAGTGGTGACGCTTGGTGGTGATGTATGTGACGTAAACATGTACGCGACATGAGCAGATCTGACTAGAATTGTGCGTCTTGAGCAGTGTAGACAGAACTGATTGTTTACTCATTGCCGCCAGCGTCAAAAACTAAAGTTTTATTTGCACATACTCCAAAATTTGACATTCATTCATTCATTCATTTTTTTTAACCCTCCCTCCATTTAACATTGCACTGCAGCCCGGTTGAGTAAAAAAAAAAATAGGCTAATGAAATTTTAGACCTTTGTGAAAAAATAAGACTTGGACAAAATAATTTAAGACTTTTTAAGGCCTTAATTTAGGTACATGAAATTTAAGACCTTTTTAAGACTTTTAAGACCTCGCGGCTACCCTGATATAATTTAATGTAAAATGTCTGAAAAATTCAAAAGAAAGCTCATTGTGTTAGATTAGAAGAGGGGAGTGGGAGTAAATACGTTTTCTTCTTCCCACTTCTTTTTGGGCCATTTTTTAAATTTTTATTTATTTTTTGTTGTTATTTCTGCTATGATTTCATTAATGTTATGTGTTCCATTGTAAAAGAATGTACATTTCTTACTTGCCCAAAATAAATACATAAAATTAAAACTCACAAGAGACAAATTTGTGTAACATAGGACCTTTAAGAATGGGAGAAGAACAAAACTTGCACATTAGGGAGTATAGTGATGAAAATATAGTCAAGAGTAAAGCACAGATTTGGCTCAATTACACTGCTCATTATAGTAGAAGAGGGAGGATACAGAGCCAATATGATGAGCACATAATCCCTGTTCAAATGGGCACACAGCCTAATCCTTCACTAACAAAGAAATAATACCGCCAATGTATTTTCATAAACAACGGTCTTCATTTTAAATTCTGTATAAAAAGCTATAGTCGAAAACTAGAATTTCAAGCAAAAAATTTTGAATTAGGAATAGGAGTTGCTTCACGGATAAAATAGTGAAAAAAAAACCCCACCAGGATCATGTAGAGTGAGTTAAAACGAACATTTAAAGACCAAATGACGAGGCTCACTGCAGTAGTTACAGAGAGAGGGGTGACAATTTTTCAGTGCAGGTAAGCTACTGTATGTCTATTTACAGTCCAAACATGCACCATTCAACCATGCAACTCTTACCTAACCTAAATTATACCGTGTAGCTCTACAGAATGTTATGATATCCTCTGGCACATGTCTCTGGTGCTTATCTGCACAGCCCACAGTCCTGGCTGCAGGCCTGGAGCGCACAGGATTAGGGCCAAGTACACAAGCAGCAGTTTTCACAAGCCGTTTTTTTTCTTTTTTGTATTTTTTTTTTCTATATCTATAATCTTAAATATAATGATCTTAACTGCACTTTTAGTTAACTGAGTCGTCCAACCTGCCATTTCTGGTGTGCAGAAATACTGAAATATTGATATATCACATCGTTTAATGTGATAATATAGTATCGATGTCGTATATATATAATATATATATATATATATATATATATATATATATATATATATATATATATAGCCAGGAGTATTTTTTGGTATATTTTACTAAATTATATTGTTTCAGTGCTACAGTTTTCTTGCATAAATAAGTTTCCTTCCTCTGAACAAGCAACACATTTGACATTTTCACGGTTTATAAAATCAATCGGCGGACGGCGGGCGGGTGCGGTTTAGAAAACCTTCGGTGCAAAATGGATAGCGGGCGGATGATGAGTTTTGTGTCGCGGTTGCGGATGAAAAAATAGCCCATCCGCGCATCTCTACTGTGAAGCTGAGGTTCTGTAGGTTTGGCCTGGGTCTAATCCACTCTCATTTTAAGTGGGAAAAGACTCTACACAAAGGAAAGTCGGATTTCAAATGCTGCCTAAATTTTTGGGAGTAATTATAAGAATAGGTTATAGCAGGTATTCTTGGAGACGGCCTGAGAGACAGCAGACTGAGCATCTGTTAGGCCTTGACAATTCCCATGTCAAAGCTGAAGCAGATCTCAATAACATGAGATTTAAGGGCTTGTAATGAAAAAAAAAAAAAAAGTTTAGGCGGAAATCATCTAAAAACATTTTTATGTATTTATTTTTTATTTTGGGTAAATTTTTGTATTTGCACAAACTGGTCCAGATTCTTCTCAGAATGGTTGACTGAAAATAAGTGGGTTAACAGATTTCCATTAATATTTTACATGTTTATGAGATAGAGAGCTCTCTTTTATCAGAAGCTGGATAAACAGAAATGAGTTAAGAAAACCTGCATATCACGGTAACACATTCACGATCATCCCATCCGCCTTTACCTACCATATGAGTGACCAGGATGGACTGCATTTTGCTCGCAACAAGGTAACCCAGGATATAGGACGCAAAGAGAGACGCCACCTTTACAAAACAAATGTATTCAAAATGACATTAAATAATATTTCAACGTGATCCTCATTATTACAGAGTGTGTGACGTTTACCTGAGTGAGTAAAACGAACTGTGCAAACTGCCAAGGCAACATGAAGCACAGGTTGGACACTCCCAGAGCTACGAAGGCCGTCCTGCTGGGAGTCCTCGATCTGCACCAGTGAAAAAGATCAATGAATCAAAATCTGACAAACAAAGTGCTTCTAAAAGGTGCATTCTGTAACTTTTCTGGTAGAAGTTCCTTCAAACACGTTTTGAGATGTTATTGCTTTGTCTTGAATGTTTCACAGTGTGGTATTAAAGCTTTCAGTCTTCATGGAGACTAAACCAGACCAAGTTACAGGTCATGTGGAGAAGCGACCCCACTCACAATGGTCACAATGCTTGTTTTCTAGGTATTTTTGAGCAATAAAAACAACTGTGATTAATTAAATGTAAATGTCATACTGTGGAACATTCCAGGTAGAGCAATGACATATCCACAGAAACAAGCGTATGATGAACCCTCCACCACAAAAGTTACAGTTTCTATGTAGATCTATGTTACAATGTAGTTTCCTCATCATAAACATACATGGAGTGGTGTTTTGTTTCATTCACACATGTTTAACACACAAACCTGCATATTCAGGCTGAGTTCTTCTCTGCAACAGAAAACTCCATACAGCTTCACTAGAATCATTTAGATCAGGGGTCTCCAAAATTTAACTTGAAAACTACAGCTTCCTGACATCTTAATGAGGAGCAAAGCATTCTGAGCTTTGGAGATAGATGTAGACAGACTACCGTATTTTCCGGGCCAGGTGTGCTCTTTAAGCCTCCAACCCCATCAAAAAAAAAACATTGCGTGCCCCGCAATCCAGAGCGCCCTATACACGAATCCACTCAGGTGCCCCAGCACGACTTCAGTAAACTACAAAGCCGCACCACCCGCAGAACACACAAACACACACAGAGCAGACAAGAGACCACGCAGCGAAACACACCTGCAGACACACTCATCACTCCACGCCGACAAGGAACGGAACGGAGGAACGAAACGAAAAAGCGAGTGCAATGTGCCACTTCTATACACAACTGAACAACTGAGTCACTGCGAACACGCCGACAATCCAGTGGTCCCAGACAGCACCCTCCCTACACAACTGAACAAAGCCCAGAGTCACCGTGAACGCTACAAACAAAGTCCCACTGACCCATCCAACTGTTGTGTTTCGTTTAAAGTCCGGTGCGGTTTATTTGTGAATAAAGTTTGAAAATAGACCATTTAGACCATTAATAGACAGTGCGCCTTATAATCCAGAGTGCCCTATAGTGTGGAAAATACGGTAATAATGCAGGGTTACTCAAACGTATGAGTGAAACAAAACACAACTCATGTTATGTTTTTGATGAGGCAACAACATTCTAACATGGCTTATAGCTCACAAGAATTTATTTTGTGCAATATAGGACCTTTAAGTAGGTTTAAATCAATACTGTAAAATGTCCAAAAAATAAAATAATGTCCCACACATGTCATAAACCATAACTACATCACAGACAAAAGCACAATATTTTCTCTTTAATCAGAAGAAATTACATACCTTAGAATGTATGTTAAGAGCAGCATCTGCAGAACAAGGAAGGGGTATGCAAAACTTTCTCTGAGAGGTGGGGTCCACATCACTCGAGTGCTCTGAAAAAGATTAAAATCAACAAAAATGCTTTAAAGTGGCTGCACGAATATTTCCATTAAGCAGCTTTGTACAGCAATAGTCTCCTACTCTGATCATTTAGGCTTATTTCATTTCAATGACATGGAAAAAATAAGGGAACTATATAAGTCACTACCTATTGCTCCATATAGTCTTAAAGGATGGATAGGGTGTAGATTATTTACATAAAATTTCATAAACCTGACCTCACTGTGTCCCCAGATATGATGTAAACACGTTTAAATGACATATGGCTCTTACTGGTGACAGTTTTAATGCTGAATTATTCTTAACTGGACATTATGACGGAGTTGTTGGTTGTTTTTTTGTTTTTTTTTATGTGGAGTTTTGATTCTCAAGACAATATACAAATCAGAAAGCAGAGTGGGTCTAGGCAATCGTCACTACATAAACCCCAGCACAATAGCTGCACATCAGTTTGATTGCAGCCTCTGGAGCTCAGTGAGGGAATTCTGGAGGTTCTGAGCTTTCATATGAGGCATGGCCTGTCCATACACAGAAAATTTAAAGAATATATACACTGCTTATACTTTTTGGAAATAAGTAGGTCTGTAGTTGACTAAGAAAATTCTTGGTGGACTAAAGTCTCAAAACTATTACATACGTTTATGTATCTGACCCATACTTGACTCACAAGACTAAACTACTGTATAACTATTTATACAGAAAAAGTACTAAGAAACAGTGCATTTATATAAATACAGATTAAGCGTGTGAGTCATCTGCCATTTTACTTATAAATACCCAAAAATACCAAATCTAGATTTAACTCACACTTTTCCTTTCTGTTGTTGTCCCATATAAACACAAAACGCAGGTCACACAAGTAAAGTTGTGTGCACAAAAACATATTTTGGATCATAATAAAAGTTAGTTTTTACATTATTATTATTGTAGGGCAACATTTTATTTAAATTATGCATAATTTCAAAGGGAAAACACAGTCCGACTCTCAGTTTGAACCATTTTAAACAGAACTGTGCCTTGGTCATTTCTCTCTGACTAGTTTATAGTTAAATGCCTTCTGTCCTATAAATAAATATCAAAAGAGCCAGTCTTTTGAACGGCTCTTTGAAGTGAACTGATCCAAAAGATTCGAATCACATAAAAGAGCCAAAAATCACTAAAAGTTATATAATGTTGTTTGCTGATTGATTTGTTTCCTCATCATAAACATACCTGGAGTTGTGTTTTGTTTCAGTAATATGTTTGATGCACAAATCTTGCATATTTAGTTCCTTTTCCACTCCATTCCACCTTGTGATGTCATCTGGTAATACAGGAAGTGCTCCACTGTGTTTACAAACTCCATACACAATTTGGTTAATTTCAGACCTAGAAATCCTGATCTAACCTGATCTAAAAAGGTAAAAGGTAGAATGTTAACCTGAAAATTACCACTTCATGACATCACAAAGTGGAACAAGACTTTCTGAGGTTTACTGTTTAATGTGGGAATGAAGCAAAACACAACTTCAGGTATGTTTTCAATGAAGTAACAACATTAACCTAACCTAACATGGCTTAAAGCTCAAAAGAGTCCATTGTGTGTCCAACAAAATAAAATCTATACTAGTTTATTTGTTAAATAGAGTTCTCACATTGGCTTCTGTCATATAAATAAATATTAAAAGAGCCAGTCTTTTAAAAGGCTCTTTGAAATGAACTGATCCAAATGATTTGGCGATAGATTTGTCAAACAGCCTAAACCCACACAAAATTGAAATCCCTAAAGAGGTGTGCTTGCTGAGTCACTGTGTTTAAAATGATCTCTTTCTGTCGTGTGGAGAAGGCCCTGGGTGGAGGATGTGCCAGCCAAAGCAGCACTAAGCTCCTTTAGGGCTGCACCAGGACCTCACTCAACACAAGAGCTTTCCACGCTTCTTTTATTTGAGGCGTTTTAATACATTTCACAGGCTTATGCCCAAAGGGGTTCTGGGAAAACAGACTGTGATGTTGGATGGTACTCACTTCTCCGTGATTGAAGAAAAAGCACAAAGATGTGACAATGCCGCCAAGACGACTGCCGCTGTGGAGACACACCAGAAAGAATGGTTATTAAAGTCATTATTATCTCAACAGAATAATCATCTCAAGAGTTTAAAGTCTTTTTTAGCTATTACATATCACTCCCCATCTTATATCCATATTAGTTCAAATGCTAGTTTGTATTACTACTAAAAGTTTAAAAAGAAAATGTGTCAAAAAGCCATGTTTTGGTAGAAGGACATTACCTGAGATAAGCTCCGTAAATAAAGAAGAGACTCATCATCAGCCCATTCAGAGCAAACACAATCGTCACATAGAAATATGCAGGGTCGCCCATTCCTAAAGAGCACAAAAATATAAAAACAAATACCATCAGAACAAACACCCACTTCTATTTTCTGTCCATGTGTGAAGGGAATATACAGTGCTTTTAGCACTCATAGAACTGTAGTTACATTAGTAACTTCAGTTATATTGATCGATAAGCCAGTCACAAACTGTAACTGTGCTATGCACTGCTGTGTAACTGTTGTATCTCGTGTAAGCCTCAAGTAACCTGTGCAAAAAAATAATAATAATAAGCTTCACTTATCAATATTTTATTTTATTTTAGCATTGCACAATTACTGCAAAACAGACACAGAAAATTTGAAAACCTCCCTAGAAATTCTGGACAAACACGGACTTTGCTTTGTTACAGTTCAGTCACCTCCTGCCAGAAGTCACAGTCCCCTCTCACTCCTGCTGTTATGAACATCAGCAAGTGAAAAAGAATACAACTTTAAAGCACATTATACATAATAAAACTTGGTTGAATTTTAAGACATTTGGTCTAATGTCACAAATGAAGTATTCTGACATGGTTTAAGGCAAAGCTCTGTGTTTGTCAGCATCGTTTGAAAAGCAAAGCATCAGTTTAGTAGAGACTAGTGTAGTGTAGAGTGTACATGGGCCCTAATGAGAATGACTCAAACCCTCACTGTTGTACAATGGGAAGATGACAGCCGTGGGCTTTTCTCTGTCAGCTCCTTTCACTAGACACAACAACAACAGCATCACTGCAATATGAACAGCTTCAGAAGCACATTAAAGGTCATCATCCATATTTTAAATAGCAATAATTTAAATAGCAAAGTAATAAGAGGAAAATTTGAATTTCCTTTGTAAATAAACAAATACATAATTTAGTAAGTGCCATCTGTTCCAGGGCATTAGAAAATAAATTAGCATCAGAAAAGAAGACATAGCTTGACATGAGTCGGTGTATGCCCACACATTTGTTCTTTTCTTAGTCACCCCCCTCTGTCAGTACAAACAGATGGTGCTCTTAATGTCTATAAAACTTTGCATAAACACGTATTTTCCTTCTAACTTTATGTGCCATTTTGTCCTTTCACCTTTGTCTCTCACCGTTTGGTAAACACCTCTTTCCTGATTTTTTCAAACAGAGCAGACAAAAGCAGATTTCACAACACGCACTCACATCTCCATGGAGACCACGTACCTTCACAGCTCTCCACCGGCGTCAGACCCTCTCCTCGGTTGATGTTCCAGCACATTTTAGTGGGAACTCCAAAGTAGCCCATGACAGCGGTGTAAACGCGGTACCAGCTGGAGAGGACCACCTGCACAGAAACAGCCCAGTGAACAAAACCTAATCTTTTGATTAAACAGAAAAGTCAGGAATGAGCCAAAAATGGATATAAATTTCCTTCATAGCTTGAGTCTCAATGTTTTTGAGCCAGGAGCCCCTCTGAACACCAGCAATAACTCATCACAACACTGTTACTAAGCAAAGCAGGTTAAGTGTTTTCAAGTGCCTACCCAAGAGGACAGCAATAACAACACAACATTATTATGGACTCTTTTATTTTTCTATTGCCTTTAGGAGATAAATAAAGACTTCTTCTTCTGAACATTCACACTGTGATTAATTATATTTGCACAGCTGTTACTCACTCAAGCTCACAGCTGACCAAAAGGACAAATGTGTTTAAGCAGACAGCTGCATGAATCACACTCACAATATGACCAAAAGAGCAGATTGTCCCAGCAATGATTCAGATCTGGACAACTTTATTCCTCCCACCTCCAGGGGCACTTCATTTGAGCAGTAAAAACATAGTGGCAACCAGACATTCAAGATTTGATTTTTATCACCATATTGCCCAGCCTTATCTCCTGTATAGGCCTGTCAGTTATAATGGCAGTTGAGTGGATCTTTATGGTTGGAAATAGGGGTAAGACAAGACAGAATTTCCACGACACAAAACTCGAGATGGGGCCCATGAGAATAAGGCGAGATGAGATTTTGAAATAATTTAAAAATGACCAAATTAAGTCATTTTCATCTTATATAAGGTCTATTTAAACAGCTGTGCAAATCCCCACATGTCACTACTTATTTTTACAGTATACTCTCAATATTCAATATGTTTGTTACATGCATTAAAACCTCCCGTGGCTTGAGATCTCATACCATCCCTAATGAAAAAATGTACAGAACATATGGAGTCTGAGCCTCACCTCTGGATACAGATTAAACCTCTGCAGTGTGTTGATGACCAGGGGGTACTCTGTCAGACGGTCATTCATAATCATGTGCAGGCCGTCCAGGAAGGAGGGGGCTTCTATAATGGTCTTGTAGTAGGAGTAGTACAGGCCCTAGCACGTATGGAGAAAAAAAAACAACAGTGACATTCAAAGACAGATTTTAGAGAAAACATTATCAGGAAATAGCATTCATTAGCATATATTGCAATTGAATCAAAAACAACAATCTGAGTGGGCGTAATTGGCAAACTGCAAAGTCTGGAATTACTATCAGATAAGACAGTGTCCTCTTCAAAAAACATCTTTTTACACAAAAAATCAGTTTGTAGTTTCCAAATCTTAAGCATGTTGGGAAAGTTTATCAGTTCATATTTCAGTTTTCCATCCATAAATGTTACTGCTCCTGGAATTGTTTATATTGTGATTGTGAACTGAATCCCACATTTAAAAAATATATTGCAAATGAAATTACAAAAAAACAACATCTTATTTATATATATATATATTTATTAGAAGAGTGCAGTCGTATTCTCACACAGCATGCATCAAATATACACCTATTATCTATTTACAGTTAATTATAAATCTATTACTACACACTGGGGCATGTATTGTTCTAAAGGGTAAAACGCAATTCATAATTTATGGAATGTTAATTAAAGCACCACCAGGAAACTACATGCACTTGAGCACCTGCATTCTCTGCAACTACTGATTATTTTGGTCATCGATTAATCTGTAGATTATTCTTTTGATGAACTAATTAGTCGTTTGAGTTGCTAAAGACTTGTGAATATAAGACCAAGATGAAGCTAAAGAGATGCCATTACAGACAGACTATTCATGGCATTTCCTATTTGCAATGGCTTTTTTTTTTTTTTTTTTTTAAACACGTCAGTTTGTGTAAAAAAAATGCATCAGTTTGGGGCCATAACACATCTGCTCTCTTCTCTCTTCTTCGTCTTCTTCTCTACACAGATTAAACTGCTTTGTCTGAATGCAGCAACATGAACTATAAATATCTACAAAGTGTGTGGTTGTGAATCTTTGTGTAGGTGGGTGATTTTAATGTGTGTTGTCCCTGATAAAAAAAATAAAAATAAATAAATAAATAAAATAACTAACACGTGGTATGTTTTGGAGTATGGGTGGGTAAGTGATGCAACATTGGCATTTTTGTGTCCAGAAGCCACAACTTTTCTAGTTATTAATATATATATAAAAGGTTTAAATTGTTAAAATGTACTTGTTTTATATCACTTTAGTTGTACCAAGACGTATTTAGATGAAGAAACCAAATTTGAAAGAATATTATAGGTTTGTTGATTAAATATCTTTTTAATCAACATTTTTTACAAGGAGCATATACTAACTAAATAATAAATATACAGAAAATATACCAGAAAATGTACACATTTTGTATTCCATTATGTTTCCATTTTTTAACATTTGAAAATTGCAAAGCGTCACTAACCCATACACTCCTCAAAAAACAATTTGATAACTAAATCAGTTGACAACTGTTTCAAAAAATTAGTTGTGATTAATCGAGTAAGGATGAAAATATTATTACTGAAACAAGTTAAAGAAAAGTAAGTAACAACATTGTCAAACAAATGGAACAATATTGATATATATATATATATATATATATTTTTTTTTTTTTACCATTTCTGTACGGAACGCCATCTCCTTCTCAAGAGTTGACAGGTGAGAGAAGTGCCTGTCATTTTCAAACAGCTGGAAAAGATGGTACCTATAAAACAGACAAAGTTGTGTAACTTTGAAGTTCATGGGCTTTTAGTTTTATCATCATTTAAAGGTGAACTGTGTAACTTTTTGGTTGGGGGTCCGTCACCTGCTTGTTCCTATGGATACGTCATTGCTACCTGGAATGTTCCACAGTATGATATTAAACAGCTCTACCTTACATTTATTAATTTGCATGTGATTTTATATCTCAGAATACCTAGAAAAACAGGCATTCTGACTGTGAGCGGGAGCGCCTCTCCACAGATCTGTAACTTGATCTGGTTTGGTCTCCATGAAGATAGAAAGGTTTAATACCATACTGCAAAACATTCCAGACAAAACAATAGCATCTTCATGAAGAAAAGCATTTGACAGACCTGCCACCAGAAAAGTTACACAACGCACCTTTAACTTACTCAGAATAGTGATTCATGTATGACTAAGTAATCCTGTATTGTTCTGCATCCAAGGCTTTTGAGTGTTCAGAAAAATGACATTGTCACCTATCCACTATCCCCACCCACTGATTAAAAATGACACACTGCAATTTCCAACAATAATCAATAATTGCACATGTAACAGTTTATTTGGGGTGGAAAAAAACAATAAAATGATGTGAAATGTTTTAAATAGTGAACACATTTAATACAGTAGTTATCTGCAATCCTGCTTTAAAATATATATTTTTTTTTTGGTCTTAAAGAAATTGACTCTTATCAGCTTTAAGTAATGCTACCTCCTGGAGTTGTGTTTTCTTCATTCACACACATTTAAGTAATGTTTTATTAATAGTTTATCTACATCTCCAACCCTCATAAAGCTCTGTTGCACCTTGTGATGTCACGAAGCGGTAGTTTTCAAGGTAACAGCTACCTTTTGCCTGTTTAGCGAAGACTGGCAATTCCATGGTTGAAATTATCCAAATGATTCTATTGAATGTGTAGGGAGTTTAAAAACACAGTGGAGCACTTCCTGTATTAGTGTTTTCACTTTGAGAGAAAAACACAGCCTAAGGTTCGTGTGTTAAACATGTGTGAATTTTCATTCACAATACAACTCCAGCGATGTTTGGACAAGGAAACAAAAGTATAGCAACAGAAAATAGCTTAATATGGGCGCTTTCAATTGAGGATTTTATTCCACAAACTTTTGAGAGGCAATTCTTTAAGTTACAAACAAATGTGCATAAGATAATGACTGTTTACATTGGTTAAATTGGTTAGTCAAATGAGATATTTTCTTACCAGTGAAGATATCCAACCAGGGCAGCTGTGGGCGGACACACTCTCATTAATGCAAAATAAGCATGTAAATATATACTGAGGGCTGGATGATACAACAGTAGCATTAATCACAATTCCGTTTTCTTTCATTTTGTCCTAACAATAAAAAAATAAGTATGCCATCAATAATAATCTCCCGAAATTAAACAAGAAAGACCCGTTATCAGCCCTATTTAACACAAAATATAGTTAGTAGTTCGAACAACATATGGCGTTTGTTTACATTGCACAGCGCTACTACACCTTTAAACTTTGATGCAAACTTGTTAGTACGTGCACGGTGCAGTGTGTCACGGTGCAAAAATCAGACCCCAAAAAGCATGCAATTTGTGATATTTTTATACATTTATATATAAGATAATGCTATTGTCCAAAATGTGAAAAAGAAACCTAGTATTTCATTCATTCGTGCATTGTTTGTTAGCGGTTAGCATGTATACGCACGCATCCATCTCCAGGCTAGCTGCTGATGCTAACTCCGAAGCTAGCTGCAACTTACCGAGAAACAGCAGGAGCCCGAGCTTAGCGGCTGCGGACGGGGTTAGCCTGTGCCTGGATCCCGGGAGTCCGTTCGCGTGAGAGCCGCCGGGGGTCGCTTTGCCCTCCCTGCCCGCTCGCCTCGCGTTACTTTTCCCGGAGGATGGAGAGGAGAGCAGCAGCGGGCTCTTGTCGCGCTCTGCCGGGCTCACAGCGCTCTTCCCCCCGGTGTGTTTTCGGGCTTTAGCCGCCATAGCTCCGCGGGCTGGGGGAGAGCGGGGCCGTGCTGTGTGCGTGGCCGCCGGAGGAGCAGGGAGGAGTGGGCTCCTTCACAGCACACGAGTGTCTGTGACACGCTCAAAAGAAGCTACGGAGCAAGAAAAAAAGAAAAAGATTACTTCCCATTCTTTGAAATAGAGAAGAGAACTAACTCACATTTCTAGAGGAAATCCTAAATTGTGTCGTATGATTTGTTAGAAATGCATCAGATCAATAGCCTTTAGAAGTGATGTTGAAATATATGACTATTTTGGCTCGTCTCCATTCAGGAATTTGTTTTCCTTTTCCTTTTCATTCTCATGACATAACATCATAGATCAATAGTGCAGAACATGTATGTTGTAACAGAGGCATGGATCTCTGATAAAAAAGAGGTTACCTGTGTTCCGTGAAATTCTGAGTCCCCTCTATTGCGCATGCGGCAATTTCCGATGTCTAAATCGTCTTCAAAGTGCTCAGGTTGCAACTCTTTAGAGAGTTTTATTCATCAGATTTGTGTAAAAAGCGTTTCCTTGGCAAGAAATAAACTCTAGCGTTACCGTAATGTTTATTTCCAGCGGACGCCATGCTTGGGACTGGCGCGCGCATGCGCAATAGAGGCGATCAGAGATCAAAACTTCTGTCATCTGTAGCACAGAACTATGATCTGCAGTGGCCAAAGAACTCTTAATTTCTATGTGGAATAGCTACCAAATCAGTTATGCTTCATTTTGATGCCTTCATTGAGAATCTACAATGTAAATACTCATGGAAATAAAGAACATTAATGAGGTCCAAACTAACCATATCAAAGTTGATTTTTTAAAGAAAACAAAGGGTACTTATTCAAGCGGCACTATGCTCAGCCATGTTGAATCTGTTAAGCCAAAGCTTCCAAGCTTTTAAACTGTACATGATTTTTTCAGTGTGACAGAGGAATAAACTCAGACGGAGGAAGCATGGAAGCAATCTCCACACGTCTCAGCTGGTCTGTAGACTGTATATATAAATCATTATACAATCTCTGGCTCTGACCAGGACTCGAAACTGAGGAGGTCTGATGAGGCAATAAATACATTAAAAAGTGTAATACACCATCAGGGTCCAGTCTTTCCTGGAAGGCTGGCCGGGATCGATTCATCCCTCTGAACCCAGCGCCCATGGCAACAGAGTGGTTGGCTGCTCTTTGGCTGCCTGGCTGACACACTGAGCAGTTTTGTTTTTACCATCATATCGTGGGATTTTAAGTATCTAAGCAGCATGTGTATTTCAGAGGACACAAGTAAGGGATTCTTGGATTGTGTGAAATGTTGTTTTTTCTAATATCCATGGAGACTGTTTAAGAGGCTAGCTAATGTGATGATAGGGTAGATATCATTAAAATCATGCAGGATTAAATGAAGCATAGTAGGCTAATCCTAAAGTTATTATAATTATTTAGTTGTATATTTCATGCACAGAAACAAGATTTGATGTATTTGTGTTTTCATGCAATTTGTTCCAACCCATTTTACTTCTCAGTTTGCATAAATATTTGGAATAAAAGACTGAACAAAGCTCTTGGGACACCCTGCAGTCTCTTACATATACACCAGATACATGTCTTTGACAATATATTACTGAACTGAATCATATTGTTTCTACATTAGGCCCATGTGGTTATACAAAACAGTGTTCTGAATGTTTGGTCATCATAGAGGAACCTGTAGAGCAGGAGTCTCCATCCTTTTCCTCCGGTGAGCTACGTTTACAAAACAAAAATTCCAGAGAGCATTTTAATGGTCGCGGGAAATAAAGTGTACATAAAAGCCATGGCAAGACTTAGATGGGGTACAGTTAGATAAAACATAAAGCATTATTTATTTAAGAGTGCACAAAGTCAGCCATCAAAATAATTTTTTTGATGAAGTTTTACAATGATAATGGGAAATAGGCATTTAATTCATCAAATCTGAGTTATTCAGGGCAATATGTGTAATTCAGAAGTTCCTCGGTGAGCAACTTGAAAGGAGGTGGAGAGCTGCAGGTAGCTCCTGAGCTACAGGTTGGAGATGCCTGTTGTAGATCTTCTGATGCACCAATATTTCTTCACCAGCAGATGTCGCTGTCATTCCACTGCACGCCTCACAAAGCTGAGTTACGCGCCGTTTATTCTTTCTATATAACAGAATAGAATATTGGTTTTGGCCAATGTAATAATGAAAATTCCACCAAATTTCATTCACTTTTTTATTTCTATTGTCTCAACAGATATAAAATTACAGGAGGAATAGGACTTTTTAACTCAATACTTATTTTAAATTCTCTGATAGAGAGCTGACAAATCATTTGTCTAGATATTTCCAATAGTCAAGTCAACTGATCAAACAAAATATATACTCCTTTGCTGGAGCGTTAAAGGGCCCATTTTACACTATTTTATCATCTCTGTTATAATGTTTCCTCATCACAAACAGACCTGGAGTTGTGTTTTGTTACATTCACACATTTAACACACAAACCCTACAGATTCTGAGTTCTTCTCTCAAACAGAAAACACTCTGTTCCACCTTGTGATGTCAGAGCTCCTTTGTGTCTATAAACTCCATACACCTTCACTAGAATCATTCTGGTGATTTCAGCCCTGGAATTACCAATCTCTACTGAACTAAAGATAAAAAAGTATCTTAAAAACTACCTCTTCATGACATCTCAAGATGGACCAGAACATTGTGAGCTTTGAAGATGTAAACAGACTAATAAACCAGAATTACTGAAACAAAACTTAACCCCAGATATGTTTTTGATGAGGTTATAACATGACTCAAAGCTCACAAGAGTCAGTTTCATGTAGGTCTTTTAATCTATCCAAATTTCAACATGTGCTCCTCTGCAGTTCCTTTGTGTTTTTTTAGGCTAAACGTTTTCAAATCTGTTGTCATTGGAATAAATAAGTGTGTTTTGTGAACCTTGGAGTTTCCCATGGGCCATTTCTCATGACAAATAATGAGCATTTCTTCTCAGTGTGAGATCTGGAAGCTCTTCTGTTGTTGTAGACGGAGACAGGCTCAGGTCACGTGTTGAGCTTGGAGACGGATGGTAACGGATTATAATGTGAACTAGCAGACCCGGAGATTCCTGCCAACTGACGAGCAGGGACATGGAACATAACGTTATTAATATTTTATTTTGACCTTTTAACCGAGTTATAGTTGTTTCTACTCACAGTTTACTCACCAAAACTGCAGTGATTCATGCATGTTTGAGTAATCTTTAATTTTAAGACTCCGTTTTGTCTATCAACCCCTGTTTTCACCAGTGCACTTGCTTTGCTCTCTACTTATTTTGTTCTCCAGTTTTATTTTCTTACTCTGTGACACACGGATTTGGCAGTGTCACTTAGGCTACGTTCAGACTGCAGGGCTTAACGCTCAATTCAGATTTTTTTGTGAAATCCGATGTTTTTGTGAGATCGTTCACATTTCCAATTAAATGCGACTTGTATGTGACTCCAGTGTGAACGTTAAACGGCCCGAAAGTGTCCCGCATGTGCACTGGAGACACGATGACGTCAACCGCAGCCAGCGTGTTCTGTGTTTACGGAAGTTGTCCAAACATGGATGCGAGCATTGAGCACCTGGAGATTTTAAAGTTCCTTTCGTATCGGAGCCAGAACATGAACAACTTGTTTTAAGGAGATTGAGAAGGACGAGGTTTTTGGCCGTGGTGTTTTGTGGGACAGCGACAGCGACGTCCGTTGAAAGGAACGTGTGGATGTGGAGACGTAGCCAAGAGTGGTGAGTGGCGATGTGCTTCTCTTCAGTGACACAGAGTTCATTAATAATTTTCGCCTACTTCAGCGCAGAATAGTGACGTTTGTGGCTTGTTGATAACGTGTAGGTCGAATGAATGTGCTTTGGCCGTTCACACTGAAGTCGCATGTTAAAAGATCAGATATGTATCGGTTTCAGGAGCACATATCCAAGTGTCCTGGGTCACATTTGAAAAAATCGGATCTGTGTCGTTCAGACTGTCATTTAAAAGATCAGATACAGGTCACATAGGGGCCAAAAAAATCGGATTTGGGTCACTTCAGGATGCAGTCTGAACGTAACCTTAGTCATTTTGGTACAAATAAAAAAAAAAAAAAAAAAAAAAAAAGTGAAAGTGATGATATTTATGCAGGAATTCTGTTTTTGTTTTTGTTTTTTTTTTTGTTTTTTTGGAGTTTTTTTGTTGTTTTAGATGAATATTGCGGTTTAAAGTATGCAAATTATAACACAGTGATCCATGTCATAGATTGTCATAGATTATAACAGTGTTTCCCAAACTTTTTTCCTGGGGACCCATATTTTAAAAGTCACTAACCTTCATGACCCAAGTCAATAGACATTATTTGGAAATCACAAAATAAAGGTGGATTTGACCATTACTGAACATTAATGAGGATATTTTATTGTTGACTGAGTGATCATGTCTCTGAACAATTAATATTACTCAAGTTTTAAACAATGAAAAACAGTCATTGAAGCAGCAATAAATAAGTCGTTATTTGGACATTAAATGTATCCCATTTCTTTTTCTTTTCAACATTCAATTGAACCAGCAATATTGGAACTAAATAGTCATTAAAATAATTACAGAAAGATTAGAAATGATATAAAACATTTCAACATGTGTCAGATCTCTATATTGCAGATCTACTGTACATGCAGATCGGGACAGTGCCACCCCAAAAATTCTTTTGGTCTTTTGGAAACAATGGATACAGCATATATGATAGGTCTTCTTCAAACAGAGGTAGGACCAAGTTATTATTTTGCAAGTCTCAAGTAAGTCTCAAGTCTTTGACCTCAAGTCCCAAGTCAAATACAGGCAAGTCCAAGTCGAGTGTCGAGTCACTGGCCCATAAATCCAAGCCAAGTCCAAGTCATTTCAAGTCTTTAAACCAAAGTACCAAACACAGCTTAGATTTTAGCAATTTATATGACTTTAAAACTAAATTGTACTTAAAAAGTCATGGTGTATTTATATAAGAGTTGCAGAAATGTAAATGTTTCCTTTTTAAATGTGTTGACAAGATCTTAGTGTGAATCATTATGGTCAGAATAATGTCAGACTTAAGATTTTAAAATGCAGTTACTGTATGTTGCCATGTAGTCTGCACTGAAATGGAAGGATCATGTTCTATATACTTTACCTGTCAAAAGGTAACACCACACTTTTTCCAGCTCTTTACTGTTTACTGTTGACCAAAATGTATTCTAAACTTCTGATTCATCAAAATGTCCACCTTTGGCAGATGTAACAGCTGAACACACTTGTGGCTCGTTCTTTTTACAATAGAAATCAAATATTGTTCACAGAGTTCTTCCCAAGTCTGTTGCAGAAGTTTCCATAAATGTGTGGCACTTGTAGGTTGCTTCACTCTTCTGTCCAGTTCATCCCAAAGCAGCTCGATGGGGTTTAAGTCTGGACACTGTGCTGCTGGACACTCCATGTTTTCAAGCTTCACCATCTTGTTCTTTTTTTCCTGAGGTAGTTTTGGCAGAGCTTGGACTTATGTTTTGTATCTTTTATCTTTTTTTTTAAACCCCTGTCTGTTCAGT